ATAGTAAAGTGAACTTTGCCACCACTTACATGGTCTTAGCAACTGGAAATCCCAATATAGATGGCCACCCGTAGCACAGGAGATGCTGTTTAGAAAAAGAAACCAACTATAAATGTAGATTAATTATTCTAGCTGATTTCAGTACACTGTCATTAATACGTTATGTCCTATTGTGTCATTAATAATCTGTTTTACTTCTGTTTTTATGGTTTTTAATGCTTTAAAAATCATTAGGACATTTTGATTTTAGATAATGACTGTTTTACATTTCTACTGTTTTATTGAATTGCTCTATGCCACCCAAAGTTGCTTTCTGTAAGGTGGGCAGCCATATAAATTTGATAAATAAATAAACAACAGCTACTTTCCCCTGTTCAGTCACAATGCAAATTATGTACATCGATGTGGATGTTTCTGACCTCTTCAGCCATATCACCACTCGGAAAAAACAGATCATTCCAGACTTGTATTCAGAAAAAGAAATGTTGTTTCTCTTTTCAGCTTAGCATCATCTACTGTATTTATCTGAAAGTGAAGGTAATGTGCTAGAAGAATGTCCTAGTCAAACATAAGCAATTTTTCCATTGATTTTGATAATTGATTTTAGAATAGAATAGAATAGAATAGAATAGAATAGAATAGAATAGAATAGAATAGAATAGAATAGAATAGAATAGAATGGCCAAGTGTGATTGGACACACAAGGAATTTGTCTTGGTGCACACGCTCTCAGTGTACATAAAAGAAAAGATACGTTCATTAAGAATCATAAGGTACCCTGAGTCCCTTAGGAATAGGGCGGTATATAAATTTAATAAATAAATAAATAAATAAGGTACAACACTTAATGATAGTCATAGGGTACAAATAAGCAACCAGGAAACAATATCAATATAAATCGTAAGGATGTTTTTGTTTGTTTGTTTAATTTATATGCCACCCATCCTACTATCCAAAGTAACACTGTTTTCAGAATAGACGTGGGTTAGTATAATTGAGTTTATTGGTCATCTGATAGGCTACGAAGACTCATGCAACTTTTCACTTTTGGACATCATCTTCCCCAAACAGACTGAAAAAGAGTATTTTTTAAAGCTGCCAAAATTGCACATTTAAAAAAAAAAAACAAGTCTCAATCCACTTCTGTTGGCCTCCAGAATTTATCTAAGAGCATTTTCTTCACACATAAGCATTCAGTTGTGCCTACGTCGCTATTCCTAGCTTTCAATAGAGTCCTGCTTTCATGGCAGCAGGAAGCAGGCAAGAGCCACATTTCACAATTCTACTATTTATCTTCTTAAACCACTCCCCCCACCCGCATTCATCCCTGCGCTAAAGTTTGAATGACACTAATTTCCTGAACAAGATACCCTAGAAACCGCAGTTTATCTCATAAAATCATAACAGACAGGGTTTGTGATGTCCCCACTGCCAGGTTCTTTATTCTGTCAGTTTATAGCATTTGAAATGACGGAAGGAGATGTGTTCCTTTCATATGCCAGCCAGGAGAACAAGCCCTGTCACCAACAGTGTAATGTGCTGTGTATTATCACTCTGACTGATCCAGAGGCCCAGAGACTGTCATCTTTTTAGACTGTACAAGTCAACACAAATAAAACTGAGGAGGCAATTGATAATGTCTGAGATAGATCCAGGCTCATTTTGGCCATTACTTTTTATTCAAACCTTAGAGATGACATGATGTGAAAAATGAGCCTGTGTCTAGTTCACTGCCCATTAGTGTGTGAGCACATAATCTCCCACTTTTCACACAGAATCTCTCTGCACACACTCTGGCAGTTACAGTCAGGCCCAACCCCCCCCCCCCACCATCACTGTTAGAGGAGATTTCACACCTCCCCCCCTCCTCTTGGTACATAGCAAATATTGTCCCTAAAGTGATAGTTATATTTTAAGGAAGTGAAGTTAGCAGCAATTTCATGCCAACTTTTCTGATTCTCTTCCCCCCCCCCCACTCCCTCTTTTCAAAATCCCCATAAATGACTGAAATATTTACTTACCATATGCTGGGTATCCATTCTAAACAAGTCCTCGACTTATGACCACATTTGAGCCCAAAATCCCCATTGTTAAGCAAGGCACTTGTTAAGTGAGTTTTGTCCCATTTTACGACCTTTTTGCCACAGTTGTTAAGCGAATCGCTGCAGTTTTTAAAGTGAGCCATGCGGTCATTAAGTGAATCTGGCTGCTCCCGCCCTCCTTTGTCTTTGCTTGTCAGAAGCCTGTTGGGAAGGTTCCGAATGGAGATCACATGACCCTGGGACGGTGCAACTGTCATAAATATGTCAGTTGCCAAGCACCCAAATTCTGATCACGGGGATGGGACCATGGGGATGCTGCAATGGTCGTAAGGTTGAAAACTGGTTATAAGTCACTTATAAGTCAAGTGTTGTTGTAATTTTGAATCGTCACTAAACAAATGATTGTAAATCCAGGACTATCTGTACCAGAAAATCAAAACTGACTGACCAAACACTGAAGCATCCAGGTATTTGGAGAACTCAGTCCATTTCACTACTGGAAATTAAGAATTAAACCCTAACGGTATTATAGAGCAAGCTTGACTTCCACCCAAAGCTTTATTTTCTATCATTGGAGGATTAAAGAAAACTTGGGACCATGGTTCTAATGCCAGCATCAGATAGCAGGGCCACTAGTGGCCTTCATAGATCCCTAAAACAAATATTTTGTTGTATCTTGATGCAAAGAAATCCATTAATTTCTGGTACCATTCCTTCAGGGTTGCATTGTTTTGACCTGGAGTAGCAGACTGTGCTGTGAAAAGGTCTTTCTTACAATTCTGCTGAGTAGACATGACAGGCCTCTGAACATAACAGAAGGCAGGGCATATGTGGAACCTGAATCGGTTTCCTGGAGAGATTTTGCATAGTTGCTAACACTACCCCATGCACAAGGGCTATTCCTATTACTCTCCAGCATAACCTTTAATTACCCCCTCCATCCCCAAAATATCCCTCAATTACCTTGCAGGCAGAATTATATGCATATTTCAAAAGTTCTCCCAGGGCTTCAGTGATAAGCATTAGGTTCTTATGGTTCACTGGTTTAAATTATAGGCTACTTAATTAAAACAATATAGAAAGCTGTCAGAATTCCATCTCATTTGTAGGACTTTGATTAGTTTTGGAAAGGGGGGGGTGGTTTAAAATAATGTTACAGCATATTTAGTTTTATTTAGGATATGCTGTCTTTAATGGCGGATGATATGTCCTTTCTCAGCTTGGTTAGTGGGAATTCCACTAAAGATAATGTGAAAAAGAATTGTTTTATGATCCTTATGTCAGGAACAGAAGTTTAAAATACAGTTTTGGCCCAAATTTTAAGTTTTATAGAATTATAAAACTTAAGGTTTATAAATGTGAACGTTTAAAGCAGGTATTAAAGTTTAGGGTATTACACAAAGATGTGGCAAAGATTATGAATCATTCTGAAATTATAAATAGAAGAATTGGTGGGAGGCTTCTCTCTTAATAGAATTATACACCGTGATCCCTAGTAATTATTTCTTCAAATATTCATAATGTATGGTTTATAATGTGAAGATATCTACAATTTTGTCCCACACACAAAACTGAAATTGCAGGTCAAGATCAACTTCCAAGTGGATTACTTTGATTTAGCCAACAATTTATTTATTTATTAATAAATGTTTTATTGATGTTTATCGCTTTGGAATGTTATTTTTTTTTCTTTATAATAAACCACCAAAAATCAATTCTTGTCTATATCATCATCAACAACAACAACAGCAACAAAAAAATCATTTATCCATTTTCCTTTTCAGTCTTATTTATCTTCTGGATACATGACACAAATACTGATAATTGTTCCATAAAGAAAATATAAGAGGCATGTTTTGATATTATATAAAGACAGTGACCTAAGGAAAAAAATAATTTATTTTACAAACTTACAAATTTACATGTCTGGCTATCTTTACCAATATATTTTTCAATCCTCCTCCACAGCAACCCTATGAGGTGGGTTGAGCTAAGAGAGAGTGACTGGACCAAAGTCACCCAGTCAGCTTTCTGCTTATGGTTGAACTTGAACTCACAGTCTCCTAGTTTCTAGGTCAGCACCTTAACTCTTATACAGCAGTGAAATTCACTTACCTTCGCTACCAGTTTGGGCGCTCTGCTCGCAGTAGCGCGCGCGCACTACTGGTAGGTTTCAACTGGTGTTATCACCGGTTCGCTTCGCACACACGCATTGAATTTCAGAACAGCTGAGGCATAGCAATCCGCTCTGCCGCACCTATCAGCTGGGCTAAAAACGAACGAATATAGGTAGGTATAGTGCAGGGGAGGGAGGGCCCAACTGACGGTCGGAACAAACTGGTTTGCTCTCACCTCACCATCTCTGCTACCGGCTCGCCCGAACCGGGGAGAACCGGTAGCCACCCACCACTGGCGCGCACATCTTCTGCACATTCACAGATGGTTAAAAAATTGGACGTAATGATGTCCCGGCGGGAAGGCGGAACCTCCCGCCGCAGGCACTACCAGTTCGGCGAGCTGGATAGAACCAGGGGGATTTCACCACTGCTTTTATACCAAACTGGCTCTTATACAACAAAACTGTATGAAAAGTACTCTACTGTGTTTCTGGCAATCCATTTATGTTGGCAGTCAATCTGTCTATCTATCTACCTGTATGCATATTTTCTCACACAAAAATACAAGCGAAGAGTCTCTTCTCATCTCCCTCTACAAGTATTATGATCCAAAAAGAGCAATTCTATATTTTCAACCACTGGGATGATAGCAGTGATAGAGAATTTTGTACGCTTAAACAAATGACCATGCCTAAAAAATGGATTATCTTTGATATAAAAGTATTTCCTGGGTGATACCTTTCTTTGAAGCTGTTCATTTTGACCAGTGTTGCAAATCATTCATAATCATTCAAGCTTATTTTATTCATGACTTAACATATGTTTTTTTTTTCTTTTGAAGATTACTTTGCTACTATTGAAGTTTCTTGATGAAAACCCTGGAAACAAGGTGAGAAAGTGTTTCCCCTTTTCTGTCTCTTTGCACTCCACTCTGAAGTATACAGTAACATCTACCACAGATGCTCTAGTGAATCTTAATTAGGCATATGCAGATAGTTCAAAATCTATTCAAGATGGATTATCTGAATGAATGCTACTAAATTATCTTTTTATTATCCTTTTGATGTCTGCTGGGGAGATTCAGTAGAGAACCAGCAGCCATATGATAATTTCTCTACTCTAGAGAAAAACAGAAAAATAGCAAGATGATAAACATTTGGAATGTGCAAATATATTTCCCCAAAGTATAGCTTTGAATTATATTTTTCCCAATAAGATCATCTCTGATCCCATTCATTAAACTGTTTGATTCACCCAGGAAGTGAATAATTGGGCTCTTCAGATATCTACCCAAGTGAAGTGAACCAGGGGTGAAATGTAAAATTTGTTACTACCTTTCTGTGGGCGTGGCTTGGTGGTGGTGGGGGGTAATGTGACTGGGTGGGCGTGGCCAACTTTTTTTTCTTTTTTAACTTTTCAAAGCATTTTTTCTAATGCTTTGAAAAGCCTCTGCCGATCAGGGAACTCAGCTGGGATCGTCAGAGAGGCGTTTTAAAAAATGCCTCTCTGCCGATCAGGCAACTCATTTGGGATCATCAGAGACATTTCAAAGCAATTTTTTACCACCTCTTCGGCCAAGAGATTGCAGAAAAAAATGCTTTGAAAAGCCTCTGACGATCCCAGCTGAGCCGCGCAATCATCAGAGGCTTTTTTCTTTTACTTTTAAAAGCATTTTTTCGGCCGAAGAGGTTGTAGAAAAAATGCTTTTAAAAGTAAAAAAAAAAAAAGCCTCTGATGATTGTGCAGCTCAGCTGGGCATGGTGGTGGTGGGGGGTGCAGGGATTTTTGCTACTGGTTCTCCAAACCACCCACCGCCATCACTACCGGATCGGGCAATCCGGTCCGAACCAGGAGCATTTCACTCCTGAAGTGAACCCTCTTCAATCTTTGGCAGGGTGAGTAAAAGAAAAAAAAATATTTTTATCATTTTATTTCAAAGGCTAGAGTCTGAAAATGAAGTTGTGCACAAACAGTACATGGGATTGTACATGGCAAGTATACAGCAATAGCAATGGCACTTAGACTTACTGTATATACCGCTTCATCATGTTTTTACAGCCCTCTCTAAACTGTTTATAAAGTTAGCGTATTGTCCCAACAATCCGAGTCCTCATTTTACTGACCTTGGAAGTATAGAAGGCTGAATCAACATTGAGCTCGCCAGGATCAAACTCCAGACTGTGGACAGAGTTTGCTTACAATACTGCATTCTAACCATTGCGCCACCATTGCTAATTTCATGTTATTGAGCATTGTTGTCAATATTTGGCATACATGCAGAGAGAATCCACATGATTTGAGACAAAATGTGAGCCATTGTTGCAAGTGCATAGGTAGAATTGCAAATTTCTGCTCACGTGCCTTCCTGTGTAAGAGAAGTTGGGATTGGGAAGAGAATGAGAAAGGGAAAGAAGACCAAAAGATGGAGAAAATAATCTGCATTTGGTTTGGTTCTTGGAATTATATAAAACTGGTATGCCCTCTTCCAATAATGTCTTTGATCCTAATTCCATTGATATTTAGACACCACACTAAGTCCCATATGCTTCATTAGACCTTCATGAATGGCTCATGGCCACTGCAACAACTGTCCCAAGATCTGTTGCTTGTGAATTTACTGATTTTATTCATAACTGAGTTCTAATGCTGTTAATTTTTTAATTTGAATATTATTCACCCTTGGGTATTCTCCTGAAGGTATTCAAAATGCCCACATGCTTTAATTTATACACACAGGCATCCTTAAAAATAAGTTTATAGTTGCTTACAATAGCTGTTTAAATAGAGATGGCACAACTGTCCTGGCTTATGTCTTGTGTACTGAAGGGCTTGCCATGCACACTGAGATTTGGGCATTTGGCTCTTGGTTTTGTTTTGTTGCTAGTATAACTTGGGCTCAGTCAGCGTCACAAAGTCCTCCATCTCCTCTTTTCCAATTTGCTTAGTCCCGTGGACTTGGCATTCTAGTTAGTGTAACCACTGGAACTATATAATGTCCAGCCCTAGAGAAGCGGTAAACGTTCCAGGGCTGAATCTCCAGATTGTTAATTCCCTGCACAGATGGCTCTGCATAAGACACTGTGGGAGAAGAGTGTCTTCTTAAAGCCAATTAAATAGAATCCTTGTCCAAGAAGGATTTTCAGAATGCCTATGCATGCAAATTCATGACGTGCCTCACGACATCTTTAAGCAGTGCTACTTCTCTCTTCTACCTTTATCAAGAGTAAGAGACAGTTTGATTTCCTGCTTTGTGAGAGTTTCCAGGTTGAAGAATGTACAGCTCACCCCGTCTTTGTAGAAATTACAAGAGTGAAAAGAGAAAAATAAACAAAGCAGCACATTGCCTAATGAATTCAAAAGAAGCAGAGGAAATCTGCTCCTTTCCTTTTGAAAACCACAGTTTAACAGAGTTGGGCACATTATTTGCATGCTAGTTATTTCTTGCTTGCAATTACATTGGACAATTTTTGTCGTCATTCATTATTCAGCATTAGAGTAATTTTTTTTTCATACTGTGAAATATTTTAAATGTAACATTAAAATTGCACTGCTTCAGAAACAGAATTAGCTTTTATGATTTCTAAAGACAAAAGTTCCATTGACTTGAATTTGACCTCAGATGACTAGATAGACACACATCCATGTAGTTTTCTTGACAAAAATCTGGGAATGCTTATTGCCTTTGCTGCCTTCTGGAATATTTTCTCACCTTCCTGGACTAACCTACTATCCTGGGATTTTCTGATCTCCTGTCAGACACTAACCAGGTTTTTCAAGTTCATTGAAGTCAGTTAGTGTTGCTAACTGACTAATTTAGAAGATTAACAGGGATTTCTGGTGATCAGTCTTTAGAAGAGGTTAAATAAAGTAGACATATCCTGCACTAAATGACTGTGCATGTAATTGAGGAATATAACCCAAATAACTATAGTTAGTGCTTTCAATATAGAAATCAGTCCAATTGCAGATTTTTTTTCTATATATGCTGGAAATAATAATTGTAAGAGAAGTCATGCAATCCAAACTTAATATTATCAATGAATAAGGAGTGTGCAGCCAATCAATCATGAATAAACAGAAGAGGGAAAATTTGCAGGCAGGGGAGGTTCTCTTCAAGAACTTATAATTTTAGGCGTTTGGTGTTTACACACTGTGCTCTGAAAAACTTTCTGAGCTAAAAATGCATTCCTGATCAATTGAAATTAATGGAATGTTTGCCAATGCCTTAAGTGGGAAAGGGATTGCAGCCCAAATCTCCATGGAAGTCCAAACTGAAGCAATGATTTGCAGAATGAATCTAGAAAAGTCAACACCGTTGTAATTCAGAATTCCCTTGCAGCCTTGCTATGGTCATTACAAAGTTTGGTAACATCTTACCTTCGCGTGCATTCAGTACACGTTCATTTACCGATGCAAAGGAAAAGAGAGCAAAATACAATGAGCCTTTGGGGAAAGGCAAAGCATATAACAATTACCCCCAAAAAGAAAAGAAAAGTACCCTTGGGAATTAAGCAAACATTGAATGTAAGAGATAGGAATGAGACAAATATTGAATTAAGGCAAGCACTGCCTGAGATGGCAATCACAATTTTATAAAGGGTGGTGGAAACTGAAGTTGCCGGTTGAAGGCAAAGGCAGGAGTTACAGATAAGGTCTCCTAACTTCCATGCTATGATATTAAGTCACGCTTCAAATTCCTGGGCCAAAATAAATATAATCTGCATGGGGTGCTTGTCACAGAGCCTTTTTATAAGATATAATTCTGACATCACAACTGTGTGATTTTGGACTGTGGCCTACAAATCAAAGTGCGCTTAAACCTGACACATAGCTTCCTAACTCATAGCATCACAAAAATATCCTTAATTCACAGTGATTGCCATCACAGTTAGCCTAATGTGCATTTAATTGCATCTATGGGCTTTGGTTGTGAAAAATAAATTGTACACTGATTTTAATGAAATTAATGTGTTGCAAATGTTGGCTACTTATAATACAGGATCACTGTTTAGCAGACGTTAATTATCGTTTACAGTTTGGAATGGATAATATGGATAATACACAATAGGATTTTAGCTACAGTATGTACATATTATGTTGCAATTCTATGCATGCTGCCTGGGAAATCCCTTTGCAATATTGCATTTAGTAATTGAAAGGTTACATATGAGGTACAGTATATAATATTGTTAATAATTTTTCATGAATAGTCATAGGAAAACTAAATAATTGAACATTCTTAAAAAATATTTACTGATTTATCAAAAATTCTTGTCATACCATGGTTCCTTGGTCAGTATCTCGTGGCTTGTCTATTCAGGAGCAGCAGATCAGCTCATCTGGAATCATCCTGAATGTTTATTAGAAAGGAAGGAACTGAAGATTTAGCCATCTACTTCCAACAAAGCCCCATCCAATTCTCCTCAATTGAATGGATGGATAAGATCACATTACATCTGCTTTCTGGATGAATGAGATTACATTTTGGAAAAATTGGTGAGCTCCTTGGTTGCTGTCATTCCTATGAAAATTATTTCTTGTGGAAAAGAAAAAAAATACCACTGATCTAATATTGATACGTTTTATGTACTGAAGTGTTTGAAACAAAGGATGAATAGGCATATTTGGGTATCCCTGAGTGACAGTCATAATAAATACTTGTCATTTAAAACAAAATGTGAAAATTTGCTCCTGCCCTTGTTCCTCCTAATAATTAATTAGGACCTAATTGGTAGCATTAGCTTCTTCCTCTTAAATCATCAAGATTTTTTTTTTAAAAAAATCACCATATAATGTTCTTTAATAGAATTATTAAGCAGTCCTGTGTCTATTTTTTTTTTTTTTGCATATTAAAGATTTTCTTCTGATTTTTTTACATATATATAATCAATTGAATTATTTGATGAATCCATACTCTACATATAAATTTCCCTCATTTGGAAAGACATTAATTCATTTCACATCAAGTTGGATACCCATGCAATTCATATCAAATTAGATGTTTCTTTTTCTATTTTCAGATACGCCTATTAGATTTTAAATCTGTGAAGACGATAGCTGTTTGCTTCTGAGTCCTAGCTCCTATTTGACTTTATGCTATGTCTTTAGTCTTGGCCACTAAATGGTCTCTGGTGTTCTGATTCATGGCCTCTAGCTTATCACACTGCTGCTTATGGTCTACTAACATCGTTAGTTGAAATGTGCCCTTGTCATTTTTGGATCTATGATTTTAACACTCAAAACAGTCTTTGGATAATGCAGAAAAGACATATAAAATGAGTTTTTTCTAAGTATAAACAATAAAGAGGGAAGCCTATACAAAATAGTGAACCTGAATAAGAAATTGATGTCTTATTTATTGACTAGCAATCACTGTCCTAATCTGTAAGAAGATAATAATAGGTTTTTCTTTCAAGGTTTTAGGATTTAAGAAGGATGTTGCACTTGACGTGCTGATTACTGATAACCATGTTAAAGTTCTAAACATTTAGTAATTAAGAACCCAAAAGCAATACTAAAAACAGGAAGAGTGGAAGTGGAAAATTACAGAGAACATTAGTGATGCTTCATCTCAGTAGCTCTGCCTCATTATACTATCAGAACAAAAGAGTAAAATATATAGACTAGCTACTTCTGTTTTTCTTTGGAAGCTTGGTGATATATTTGAATAATGAAAAATGTAGGAACGCTTTTATCATACAGCAATGGATAACACTGACAATCCATTTTGTCATTCACTGATAGACAATTGTGTTATTCTATATGGACTAGTTAGAATAATAACATACATAACAGCTTTGCTTAAGGTCTTTACTGAAGTAATTGGTAAAATTCATGGTGTATTTCTAAATTATATTTTTGATTACACATGTAGGCTGCACAATATGGTCCTTCCATTGGGTTTCTTCATTTCAAGTATTATTACAGCACTGTGGAAAACAATCATATCACCCAACTGATATAATACCTGATTTCTTCTTTACAAATCACTCTGCCACCCTGAGCCACAAGAGGAATAGAACTAGCACTTAGACTTATATACTGCTTCATATGCTTTACAGTCCCTCTAAGTGGTTTACAGAGTCAGCATATTGCCCCCAAGAATCTGGATCCTCATTTTAGTGACCTCAGAAGGATGGAAGGCTGAATCAACCTTGAGCCGGTCCCATTGAACTCCTGGCAGTGGGCAGAGTTAGCCTGTAATACTGCATTCTAACCACTGAGCCATTATGGCTCTTATAATAAGGGATCAAACTCAAATTAGGGCAAATTAAGGATCTTTTTCCTGTATAATTTCCATCTATGGCAGGGGTGTCAAACTCAATTTCATTGTGGGCTGCATCAGGGTTGTGTTTGACTTCTGGAGGGCTGGGGGGCGGGGGCAGGGGGCAGGGCCAGCTCAACATGCCAACTCATGTTGGGGGTGCCTGTGGTGGCCCGAGTGCTCAGCCAGTGAAAACGGGCTCCCAAAATCTGTTTTCGCCTGCAACAGCATCCTGCAACCCTCTGCCAGCAAAAACGGACCCAGAGCTGGCCCGTGGGCCTTGAGTTTGACAGCCCTGATCTATAAGGAGGGGAAATTTGGTTTGAAGACAAGGGTTAAAATTCTCAGCCCCCATGCTTGATCAATATCTCCTGATCTTATAATAGAGTAAATAGAGAAAGAGTAAAATAAGTGAATGGTACTTGGTCAAAGTTAAGGTGACCAGATTTTAACATTGGTAAAGAGGGACATTGTAGGCGTGGCTTATTTTGTGGGCATGGCTAGCTGGTCATGTGACTGGGTGGGCGTGGCTAGCTGGTCATGTGACTGGGTGGGCGTGGCTAGCTGGTCATGTGACCGGGTGGCCCATGGCTATGTGTATAGGGTAAGGTGAACAGATTTTAACATTGGTAAGAAGGACACCATTGTGGGTGTGACTTATTGTGTGGGCGTGGCTTGGAGGCCATGTGACTGGGTGGGCGTGGCTAGCTGGTCATGTGACCGGGTGGCCATGGCTATGTGTATAGGGACTACTCAGAGGGCTGAAAAGTCATTTCTGACAGGTCCTCACACTTTTGACTGGTCCTCACACTTATGACCATCCTCACATTTATACCCGTGCAGCATTCTTAACAACCATGTCACTCATTTCACAACTGCTTCTCTTCACCATGGTGACAAGATAGGGCAAAAACATAAGATGTGAGGACAGTCGTAAGTTCGAGGACTGGTCAAAAGTGTGAGGACCAGTCTGGCTAGCTGGTCATGTGACCGGGTGGCCATGGCTATGTGTATAGGGACTACTCAGAGGGCTGAAAAGTCATTTCTGACAGGTCCTCACACTTTTGACTGGTCCTCACACTTATGACCATCCTCACATTTATACCCGTGCAGCATTCTTAACAACCATGTCACTCATTTCACAACTGCTTCTCTTCACCATGATGACAAGATAGGGCAAAAATGTAAAATGTGAGGACAGTCATAAGTTCGAGGACTGGTCAAAAGTGTGAGGACCAGTCAAAAATAACTTTTTCAGCCCTCTGAGTAGTCCATATGCATAAAAGGATACAGCAATAGAGAGGGATGAAGGAAAGGAAGGGAAATTAGAGTAGGAGTGAGGGTAAGAGGGGGAGGAAGAGAGGAGGAGAAGGAGAAAGGAAGAGGAAGTAGGGAGGAGAAGAAGAGGGGGGGGAAGAGAAAGTAAGAAGGAAAGAAAAAAGAGAGGTGGTAGGTTTGAGGAGAAAGATTGCTGTACAATAAAAAAGATGAAAGGGAAGAAAGCCAACCCCAAACAAATATAAAGATATTAAGATAAAGAATGAATGGTTAAACTTTAAAGAATAAAAGAGAACAAATATGAATAAATAGCAGTAATTAGAAACACACATACAAACATACAATTTATTTTCTTTGAACAGAGTATTTGGCCGGTTCACAAATTTAAACAGTGTTTAGTCACTTCAATTAAATTTACAATTTCTATATTTCCTTTTTGCCATATTTATTCCTCATCTATTTTTTTAAAAAAACCAATATTACCTTTCATCCTGTTGGAAGAAACATCCTTCTAGGTTCTGCTCCAAGTGGGGAAACAGACACTGGAAACATGGAGACTGCTTGGAAAGATGGTTTAATGGTGGACAGGATCACATGGCTTGAGTTCCTGAACAGAAAAAGGGCAGATACAGAAAATCCTCGGGTTTTTATGCTCTCCCTGGCTCTGCATTTCTTGGGGCCCCAAAAGAGTATCCTGATTGGTTGTCAGACTCCCAGGGGGTGGGGGTCTTGCTGGCTGATGCAATCTTCCCAGGTGCCATGTGGTGAGCCTCATCTAGATGGGTCCCATTGTGTTAGTTTCTGTTGCTATTGTGTTGCAAATGTCCTTTGACAAAGGATTGGGTTTCTGCCTCTGTCCCATTAACAAACAGTGGGGGCAGGAAGGTGGGAGCTGCTTCTCCCAGGGAACGTGCTTCTCCCAGGGAAATATAATATTCTGCCTTTTTCATATTTCCTAAAATATTTCACTCTTCCAGGAGAGGGGTGGGTGCTAACTTCCTACAATCCTCATCTCTAATCTTAATCAAATTCAATTTTTCCCTTCTATTCTATATTATACCTCTTCCCATTGTCATCTATTTTTATATCCATCCTCACATTGTTTAATTATGTAATACAGTTGTTTAATACAAATTCAACATTTTAATATAAATCAATTAGTTATAAAACTATCTTTTTTGTATATTAATCAATATGAACATGAATATTCCAATTATTTCCATGCAATCCAATTTCTTACAAATCAATTAATTATATTTACCAATAATAATAAACCAAATAATTTCCCCCATATATTCCTCAGAACCACAACTTAACCATTTCTGCTTTCAATACAATATACAATTAATAGTATCTCAATTATTACAATTCCCTAGTTAAATACAGCTTTTTTTTCTTTTGTGTTTTAAAATCTTGAACTTTCCTCCTAAATTTCCCATTGTTTGCAGTTTTTCACCTACCTTTTTTGGGGAGGAAAAATAAAAATAAAAATAAATCTCTCTCTGCCTCATTTTGTCATGTTGCACCAAAGATCCTGGTTTCGGTTTCGTTTCTGCAGCTTAGCTAGGGGAAAAAAAACTGCTTCAGGAACTCTTTACACTGATTGCCTGTAGGGCGGCCCTTTGAAGCCCCGGGCAAGAGTTTAAACAGTTTTTTTTTCTTCTAGCCATCAGCTGGGGCTCAAGAGGCAGCGGGACTCAGGAGGCAGAATGAAAAATCGGGACTTTTTTGAAACGCCGCGGGACGCGGGACAAATTGCTAAAAATCGGGACTGTCCCGCCAAAAGCGGGACGTCTGGTCACCTTAAGTATGATTCTCATCATGACTTGCTATGAAAGAACAAACCTTTAATCACTCACTAACCTCCCACTTCCACATATTTTTTCTGATTTTTGTATCACTGGGTATCAACACTAACAGAAGATAGAAAGTGGCCTGGAAGGAGAAATGAAATTTGTAAATTCAAATATTTATATACAATTAAAGATTAAACTAGCATCCAAATAGCAAAATAGAAAAACAAAAATCGCTATTGGGTGCCTGCCCATGTTTATTGGCCAGGAGCTGATATTTTTTTTCCCTGTACATGGACATGCTATAAAATAAACCCATATATTGTGAGGAACCTTCCCCACTTTACATCGAGGGGAGCTGTGTAAAGAGAGTCTCCCCTTTTAAATTCCTGGGAGTCCATCTCAGCAAAGACCTCACCTGGAAAAACAACACGATCCAGGTGGTCAGGAAGGCCTAACAAACTCCATTTCCTTAGGGTCAGGCTGGAACAACAACTGATGACCTCCTGTTACTGATCCACAATAGAAAGTGTCCTCACTTATTGCATCACGGTATGGCATGCTGGCCTGACAGCCATGGATAGAAAAACATTACAGAGGGAGGTGAGCACAGCACAAAACATTGTGGTCTGTCCCCTGAGACCACTAGATGAGTCTCTAGGGCTCACTGCCTTAGAAGAGTGAGGAAAATTCTCAGGGATGACTCTCACCCTGGCCATCACTTCTTTACTCTCCTACCATCCGGAAGGAGATATAGAAGCATAGCCAGCCACACCAACAGGCTGAAGAACAGTTTTTATCCATGGGCTGTCAGACTCCTGAATGCGAGGTCGCTTTCTATCATAACTACATAGTTATATATAGTTATACATAGAAGTGAGGACGCTTTCTATCATAACTACATAGTACGATGGACTTGCAGGGCCGGCGCAACATGTAACATATTAATAGGACTGGGTGTTTGTTAATATGTTTTATTGGGTTAGGGATTTTCTGTTTCCACTGTGAGTTGTATTGTGTTGGGGGGGGGTTTGCACTGAGGGAGCTCCACCAATCTCATTGTACATATGTTGTGCAGTGACAATAAAGGTTGTTGTTGTTGTTGTTGTTGTTGTTGTTGTTGTTGTTGTTGTTGCTGTTCTTGGTTAATCTTTAGTGAGATTCACAGCCTTTGAGGCTGGTTAATAGCTCAGCAGCTCGAGTCCTAACCAAGGACTTAGGAATGTTAAGGTATCGTTGGAGGATGTAACCTGTTGTTGTTGTTGTTGTTGTTGTTGTTGTTGTTGTTGTTGTTATTATTATTATTATTATTATTATTATTATTATTATTATTATCCAGGTAATTTCAGAATGAAATCAGAAAGAAATAAAAAGCAAATGAAACATATATGAGTTTCCATGATGAGGCTAGTAAAATGTGTCAGAAAGGTTTATACAGTTGCTTGATTTTGAATTAAAGATGCTACCTTTGTAGACAATTCATCAGTTTTTGGTTGGATTTTATCCTGGCTACTTTGTGATGTTCAGAGTGACTGTACATGGCAGGAGATCTGACTATGCCAGGGAGGATAACTTCAACCACTTCTCCTGCTTTCTGAAGAGCAGAGTGGAGCTCCAGACTCAAAGTTATAAGAAAAGTTGGAACATGATCAATCTAACCTTTTACTAAGGTTACAGTCAGTCCAGACTATATCTGCCATATGTAGAAAAGGAAGAATGGGAAATACTGGGTGGAAAAATTATAGATGATTAGAAGTTGATCTTTCACACATTTTGAAAGCTGTGATACAGTTTTTGAGGAAAAAATACAATAAAGAGTGCAGTAAACTTTTAATAGTGTTAGTCCAAATGCCAAATTTTTCAGAGTAGGAAATTTTAGCATTGCATGTTGCAAGAACATTTTCCACTGCGATGGTGTAGTTGCTAAAAATACATGAATTTTATAAAAATGGAAATGAACACAAGGTTTTACTTATCCCAAATTAGTACAACAGATTGAACAATCTAATCTGGCCTGGAAGACTCTGTACTTCAATTACTACCAAAAAAATAAAATAAAAAAATCCTCAGAATGTATTCCTAGAAGTATAGAGCTTATTTACAGACATTCGCATGTCGGCTCTGATATGTTCTGAAAAGATTTTCTATTTGTAGCCATAGAACTCTTACTATATTTCCTCCTGATACAAGCCAGAGTTATATTCATGAAGGAACTTGATTCATGAAGAAAAATATAGTGATAAAAATGGCTCTCCCGGTTTAAAAGTGGTAGTGAATCATTGCATGCTGTCCCAGGCTCCAATTGCTACTCCATTGTCAAGAGGAGTGTTTATGGCAAGGAAGCCCAGTATCCTAAGGAAATGTCTTTCATTTCTGTTGAAAAATGGGTGGCAAAGGTGGAAAGTACCTGAGAGGGATATATGGTGGTTCTGATATACATTTTCTACCTGATATAATGAAGTAGAGTCACCTTGCAGGGCAGATGGGCAACACAGAAATTTAATTAATAAATAAACTGTGGAAAACCAAATTATATCTGGGGTAATGTATGCTGTCCCATTCCTACTTTAAAAGGAAGAATTGTTGTGGCCCATCAGCTGCCAGAAAAGCTAACTGCAGAGTCAGACGAGGAGGAGATTGAGGGAGAGCCTGGGCCAGCTTCGGATCCTTTGGAAGGCTCTGATAAGGAAAAAGCATCAGAGACAGAGGCGGAGCTGGGGCCTTCTGTCCTCCCCCAGGTGGAGAGGCAGCTGTCTTTGGGGCCTGAGCTGAGTGAGAGGGAGGAACAAATGGGGCCTATCACAGATGCGCATATGTGTAGAGAGGAAAAGAGAGGAGAGCAAAGGAAAACAGTAAGCCGGCTCTCAGGGAGAGGCAGATGCAGGTGACAGCCACCCCCTCCCTGGCTGGGAAATAAATAGGAGGGGCTTAGGAGGGGCTGGTTGTCACAAAGAACCATTCATTTCTAGTATACAGCAAGCAGTTCGGATTTATTATTCATTTATTTGTCAAGTACGTATTAGATAATATATATAAATATAAGCATGAATTGAACACATAAAATGAATACAAATAAATGAACATTAGGACAGGGACGGTAGGCATGCTGGTGCTCTTATGCACGCCCCTTACCTGGCTAAACTCAGGTTTGTTCGGACTAATTACATTTGATTTTTAGTTTATCCATGTGAATAAAAGACCTGCCCTGTTATAAAAAGGGGTTGTTTTACCCACAAGTCTTATCACTACTTGCGAAGGCTGGGTCAGAACAGGAATCTCTGAGAGGTCCTTGGTGTTCTCTGAGCTTGGTTGTTTTCTGGCAGATATTTCATTACCAAACTAGGTGACATCATCAGAGCTATAAAATAACCAAGCTCTGAGAGCATTGGAAGTCTAAACCACAAATATTTTCCTCTATTGAAAAGAATCTTTACCTCCGTTCAAGGAAAATGTTCATATCTGTAGCTGAAGCTCCAATAAAAGGGACATGACTAGAAAACTGTATGATGCTAGTCTTCATATCATTCTTTTATATTATTTAATAAATTAAACGTAACAGCAAAACCATTGCCTTCCAATGTTGGAGACCCTATAAACATCTGGATGACCATTAGATGACAACAAAGAAAACAAAAAAATCAGTGATTGTCCAAAGTTTTGCAGCCCAAATCTAGTAGCCTTAACTAAGTACCGTAGCTATGACACTGAAACAACAGTGATATAGATGTCCATGTGGCAGTAATCTAAAGGTTCCATGATTTGTGCTACTGCAGTGACTTGATCCTACAAACAATATATCCAATACAATCATTTTCATATCAGGCTTTGAAAATAGGAAATGAAACCCAGGAGATGTTGTTAGAGGTGTGTTAGGCTTTATACCAGAAGTCTGTTCTTTCAGGCTTTCAAGAAGATACAGCACTTGGGAAATATGAAGAACCTGAAAGAATAAAAAAAAAAAAAAAGATTTTACTTCGCTCTAAGACTTTATTGGATAATATTGTTTATACGCTACATTTTTGTGATGCTGCCTTGTTTCTGCCGAACGTCTTTAAAAATCCACACGGCAC